CTACAAAATATTGTATTGTGAAGACCTGTTGTATTATATGTTGAGAGAGTGTAGTAAAGAAAAACACATCCAAAGTTTCAATAGAAAGAAAGAGGTTTTTTCCTATCTGTTTCCTTATTATGCTTGCTATCTTTTTACATTGTTTCATTTCCTACTAACAGCATAACTAACTAAAATCTCATCCCATACAGAGATCCCAGAAATGAGTAATTTCAGTTTCCCATTCGAACTTATGGCACATAAATAATCAAACAAGATACATTGGCATTCATGATTTATCAGAAACAATCATCACAGGCATTAAAGTGTTCAACTCAAAATAAAAAGATTCCTAGAATCATGTGCACCTTACATTATCTACCAATGCTTATTTGTAATTTATTTCAATAACTCACATTGGAACCTACACTAAAAGGGTAAAAAGTATAAGCTGCTAGAAATATCAAAAGTATGTTCCAGTATTCTGACAATAGTGCACCAAGAAGCACAAATAGCAGTGCTTATAACGCATGAAACAAAGACCATTCCATGGTGAAAGCAGGACTAACCTTGAATGAGTAACAACTACATGAGTCTGTCCAGTTCAGTTCTTCTTATTTCGGTTAGGTGAGTTTGAGCAAAGCACCTAAGGGTGTTGCCTAGTGGTCAGTTGAGAGTTGAGGTCTCAGGTTCAAATCTCAATTCTTCCCATTTGTCCTAGCCTTAGTGCACAGAGTTACCTCTGTTGTTGGTGAACACTACATGAACAAAATAGTCAAAAACAATATGGCAAATGAAGTAAAGTTATTGCATTGGAGTGATAGTGCACCTGATGCATTTAAATCAACTTTCGAAAAAGCAATGCAGAAGGCCCTTTTGATATGTAACGAGAAAGCTACCATTAATATGCCACATGAGATACTCCGGCTACATTGACGGCACAACAATGGAATACAACAGTCACATCAAACAAAACCGCAAAAGTTCCTTATTTTTTCCGATTTCACCATTCTGTATGAGAAACTCGCTGCTCCTTACATAAATACACTCTCCATTCGCAGAAAACCCAAAAATTGTCGCTGCCGGCCGGTAGTGGATTCCAGATTAAAATTTGGTTCATCCGAACAATTGAATATTCCCAAAGTTTAAAGCTTTCAGGAACAAGTATGGAATTCCATTCAATTTCACTGTGAACTGTGATTCAAAGCTCTGGTATTTTGGTCACTTCACATGTAGTCGTCGTCATTCGTCACCGGCTAGACAAGTTTGATTTAGTAACTTTTTTAAAGACAAAAATATGCCCCAAGAAAACTAAAATGCCCAGAAGATCTTCCACAATAATCAAATGCAAAATTCAGAGGATCAATTTTTCGATTTCATTGCAAAAAACAATTGTTTTGACCAGGGACGTCTTAACCTAGGCACTAAAGTCATCGCTTGGGTTCCATATATTTTGGGGTCCCTTTTTTAAAAACAATTACTTATATAATGTTATTTTTTAAAAAAATTATATGTACTATGAGTGTTATGATTTTTACTATGAAAATTGCATATGAGATGAAAATAAACTTGAATTTCGTAAGAAATAATTGGATGAAAATATGAATAACGAAATCACAAAGTCCCTTGAAGAATCTTTTAGAGTTAATTGTTTTATATATGTAGAGTAGATCAAACTATTTTTTCACTTCAAAAAAGATTTGAACCAATTGAAGCATATGGAAATATTTTTGATTTCTTATTTAGTGGTAAAATATTGAGAACACTAGATGATGAGAATTTTAAAAAAATATTGTCTTAACCTTTATCTTTATTTAACACGTAATAGTTATTTTGATATTAATGGTTTAAATTTATTTTTGAATTAAAAGTGTTAAGGGAAATAATATAAGTAGAGATAATGATCTAATGAAAATACTCATCTAATAAAAAGACTTAATTCTTTTCCAAATACACATATTGCTTATAGAATAATGTTAACAGTTCCTGTAATCGTTGCCTCAGCCGAAAGAAGTTTTTTCGAAATAAAAAATTGATTAAATCTTCTTTAAGATCAACAATGTCTCAAGAGAGATTGAATAAATTAGCTATATTATCATTTGAAAAGGATTATTAAAACAAATTGATTATAAAACAATACCTAATAACTTCACATCCAAAATAGCTAGAAAAGTAGATTTTAAATAAAAGTATATATGATGAAAAAAATTAAATATTAGGGCCCTTCTGTTAAGTTTCACTTTAGGCCCCCAATGTTGTTCAGTTGGCTTTGGTTTTGACTCAACGTTACTTTGATTAATTTTCATAGAACTCTTTTTGTTATCCAAGCAAGCATTATATCACTTAAATTGATTGCACGTTCTTCTTGAAACAAGTTCATTAATTGTGCTAGTTGATGTTGAATTTGGTCTCTCATAACTCATGTCTTTGATACCAAGTCCCTCATTTTGGATCTAGTTATGGAACGTTGCAAGGTAAAATATGATGTTTTCCTCCTACAACATATGGTGTTAGTTCGTTAAGACAGAACTGCAATCTCTTGAGTTGAAGTACTCAAAAACTTGAATTATTTTCTATTTAAATTTTCTAGGATTGACGGAGAGTTTAAATACATAACTTATAAGATAGGCTGAACTCATCAGTTGTCCACTTAAAGTTGACATCATTTTCACTTAGCCACTTCAACCCATGTTTGTTCATTTTAGACACTCAAAGTAAGGTTCTATTGTGTCAATTTGAAAAACTACTACTACAAGAAAATAGCTACTACTAGAAGAATTTGCAAATAACTACTAGAAAAAAATAATTGTTGCAATCTAGGTAAACTATTGGGTGACTAAGGAGTGATACCATTAATATTAGTAGTTCACCTTCCTCTTTATTGGCCTCATAAAAAATCATAATTTTACTAATTTACTCTTTAAGAAACTTTTTGAAACTTAATAAATTTATTTACACTTTAAAAAAAATAAAATTATAAGTGTAAAATGGGAAAAAAAATCTACTTTAATTTTATAAATTGACAAATAATTTTATGATAATTATTTATAAAAATAGTGAACAACTAATATGAAATAATGAAGTATTTATTTTCATATATAACACACATAATGTTAGAACATTAGGGCCAAAACATGCACGCCAATTAATCTAGGACAAACATATGTTAAAATGTACAAAATGTACAAGTAACGTTTCTAACTTAATTAAGTAAAAAGTTAGACATCGATCTTAATAATTTCAGTTACTTAATTGATGAGAACTTCTTTATTGTTTTTGTTTATTGCCTAATAATGGCGTTATGTAACGTGTTTTTCTTGCCTCATTTAGTCATTTAACTGAACAATTAAAGTAGGTTAATATTAAAAAAAAACTTAAATAATCAAGTGTTATAAAGATGTGGATATTAAATATATTGGACGTGCAATTATACAAAATTAGATAAAATAAAAAATGATCATATTTTTCAAAAGACGTAGTATACAAGTAGCTAGTACTCATCGAGGATAAAATGTGATAAAGTTACTTGAGATGATTTAAACATGTCCAATGTTGATCGAAAATTATGCATTTTAAGGTCAAAAGATAACCCTTTGTTATTGATCGACTAAAAATTGATTTTAGCAAATGAAAAATTGTTGGGTCTCTAAAAGTATTCTTATAACGGTCAAAATTATGCCTCACCGCTAAAAAGTGATCGTTAAAAATTATATTTTTGTAGAGGAGGTAAATCTAAAAATACATAAATAGAAAAAGGAAAATTGAAAGACCTACCATTTTTTTTTATATCTATATAAACTTAGGTAAAAACAGAACATATATCATAAAAGAAAAAAAAATCACAATACATAATTACATCTAGTAGTGGAGAATATGTCTTATTCAACTTCTATTATTATTAATACAATTATTATTATATATAATTTACTTTTTTTTATTAATACGAGATCATTTATGATACGAAATATTACACAAATATTAAACGACATTCTTGTATTTTGTTTATATAAATTGAGGAAATATTATATCCAGATTTAATATTGTCCAAAATGCTAATCCATCGAAAGTTATATTTACATGTTTTTCTAAAACACAGATATAATTAAAATGGTTGCCTAATTTAATAAACTAGTAAAATTATCCGCGCTTTGCACAGAAATTTAACATCACGGAATTTATAAACTAATACTTAAAACCTATCAGTCATTAAAACTAAAACACTATATTATCTTACATACAAGATTGCGTAGCAACAAACATTAATAATGTAAAGGAAAATGAAAATTATATCTTATTATTTATCCTTAATAACATAAACATAAATTAATAATTGTAAAAATACATGTCAGGATCTGTAACATAAGTAATGGTGTCAGTGAGCTACTCAACATGAGCAAAGTACAAAAATATTTAATTGTGAAGAAGAAGAGGTTCAAAATTTTCGTTGTTTTAAAATGAGAATGTTTATTGTGCCTTATCGGAAATGTTACAACTATTTGGAAAAGTTGCAACCCTTCGGAAAGGTCATAACCTTTCATAAAAGTCACACATTAAAATCGCAATTTTTCATAAAAGTCACAACTTTTCGTAAAAATCGCAACTTTTCATAAAAATCGCAACTCTTCATTAAAGTCGCAACTCTTCATTAAATGTCACAACTTTTCATGAAAGGGAAAAACTATTTTTCAAAATAAAATAAATTAAAAAGGAATTTTGATTTGTGGTGGCGCCACGCATATATATATATATGATATATGATATGATATGAGATACATTTACGTAAATCAGCCGTTAAAAAGGAGTTTAGAATGTAATAAAAGCTAATGTAAGGGCATAAATGTCCAAATGAAGTATGAAAGGGTAAACAAGTGGAGGGAAATTGGACAAACAACTAAAACTGAAACTGAAATTGAAACCGAAATTCTAATTTATTCATATTTAATTCTCTTCTTATAATAACAATTTGCTAATTTTCTCTTCATTTTTGTGAATTATTATTATTATTATTATTATATTTCTATAGAAGCAAAACAAGAAATGGGCAGTCTCTTAGTACCAGATTTTATTCCTTCTCCAATCCAAGATGCTGAAACACTCAGAAAGTCCTTCAAAGGACATTTTCTCGGTAGACCTCTTTTTTTTTTCTTCTTTTGTCAATAACTGATGGGACTCATGGGCGGATTTAGAATTTAAATTCGATGGTTCAACTTTAAACCGTCAAAAATACTGGATTCAGTTGAACAAGTAAACTGCAACTACAAGGATGAATATCAAGTATTGTGTTGCTATTTCCTTTTTTGACATAATGGGTAACGTCCTTCTTTTTGGTGTATTATTTAGGACTGGGAACTGATGAGAAGGCGATAATAACGGTTTTGGGACATAGAGATGAAAGCCAGAGAAAGAAGATTAAAGAAACATATCAGCAGCTTTATAACAAATCTCTAATTGATGATCTTCATTCTGAATTATCTGGTGATTTCAGGGTATTCTCTTTTTCTTCCTAAAATCATTTGTTATATAGTGGAAGGGTAGAGTGTATGCAGACCTTACCTCTACTCTACTTTTATAGGATAGATAAATTGTTTCCGATACACTCTCGACTCAAAAAAATGTATGAAGAAATGCAAGAGTAAAAAGATAACCAACATAAAAGAAACACAATAGTAATAAAATCGAAGCATAAAAAGTAAAAGAATTAGAAATGATAAGCTTGTTACTTGTTCCTTTCCTGTGGATGAGCAACTTTTGAATGGTAAAAAAGTATGGTTACTACTTTATTTTTCTTCTCAAAGTTTTGACTTTTACGACTTTCATGTTTGATGCATGATAGAAAGCAGTGATCCTCTGGACACATGATCCTCCTGAAAGAGATGCGAGGCCAGCGAATGAGGTTTTAAATTCATGGATACATGACGTAACCCGTCTACAAGTGATAGTAGAGATAGCCTGTGCATCAACTCCTGATCATCTGGTTTCTGTGAGACAAACATACTGTGCTCTCTTTGGCTGTTCACTTGAAGAGGATATCATAGCACATGTTTCTCTTCCTGTCCAAAAGGTGAATTTATTTCATCGTTTACAGCCGGACACTATTAATTGAAGATGAACATGTTCTTTATAAAATGGAAAAGATCCAAATTTACCTCTTTACTATATGAATTGTCTTAGTTTTATCCCCTGTTACACTTTGGTGTCATTCATACCCTTATCGTTAGCATATCTTCTTATACTTGCCCTTGCCTTTAGTGGAGCTTCAACGTCAAAATACTTTGCGAAAAAGCTCCAACCCTTTTCTTTTTACAAAAAATAATAATTGTTCATTACCATTGAAGTTCCTAGTAATAAGCTCAGAGCTTGTTGTGCAGGTTCTAGTCAGTCTAGTCAGTTCCTACAGATATAACAAGGAACTAGTCGACCATAGTACTGCTAATCTAGAGGCTTCGAAGCTTCGTGAAGCCACTAGAACAAAACAATTAGATAGTGATGAACTTGTTCTGATACTAAGCACAAGGAACATTCATCAGCTTAAGGCAACTTTCGAGTGCTATAAGCAAAACTATGGATTCTCCATTGATCAGGTCAGTGATCTTTAATTTAAGCCACCAGATTTACTTTGCTTTAACTATTCTTGCTCCTCTATTAATCTTATCTTGTTGGATCAACTCTCCATTACAGGATATAACGACTTGTGGCGAAGGTCTTTTGGAATCTATCTTGAAAGTGGTTATCTGGTGCATAAACTCCCCAGAGAAGCATTTTGCTGAGGTAACAAAAATAGTCATAAAAGATTGTTTTGTTAGACTTTCTTCATTTTCTTGTTCTTTAGTACCTTTTTCCCTGTAGAAGAATCCTTCTAGTTTGGTGCAGAGCTGTTGTCTGGTGCAAGTAATTATTTTTTGGAACTTGTTGTAACATCACCATCCTCAAACACTTTCACTTGATATCGAACAATTGACTGCTTTACCATCACCCCCCCTGGATGTCTAATAGTATTGCTTATAATCACCTAATGACAGTGACTAAATCATGCATCCTTTTTTCTCCTCCGCTTTTAGGTCGTAAAGGTCTCCACCGATGGGCTAGGAACTAATGAGGATTCTCTGAGTAGAGCCATTGTAACTAGAGCTGAAATTGATATGATCAAAGTTAAGGAAGAATATCTCAAAATGAAGGATACTGCTCTTGAATATGCAGTAGCTGATGATACATCAGGTCACTACAGGGAGTTCCTGATGACCCTGCTTGGTGCCAATGATAGTAGTTTGTAGTGTTTGTATCCACTTATCATTGGTAAAATATCAAGAGTTGGTGATATTGTCATTTAACTTTGTTTGCTTTCATTAGACTCTTGTGGTCCAGCCCTTCTCTGGACTTGTGCATAATGGGAGCTTAGTCCACCGAGTTGCTTTTTTTTTTTTTTTGTTTTTTGCTTTGAAGTTGATGATGAATCAGTATTGGTGAGGATGATCTTTGATATTATTTGTGTTACGTAGCATTTAGAAGAAGAATGATTGTTTACCTTAATTGTGGTTTGGCACTTTGTTTGAATAAATGTTGGTTATTGTGTATTTGTGTTCATAGAAACAAAACATTATTACAGGATTTGAGCAAAAATTATTAGGTTCCCGTGAACCCTTCCCAACAAGTTGATCCGCCCCGGAGTGCAATTGTTTTAGCCATGTTACAAGTGTCCACTCTACCACACCATTCTAACAACTAAGAATCAATTAAATTTATGCCACAATTTGAAGTACAAAAAAACGAAGGAAGTGTAACATTGATTATTTAAGGATTGCTTGAGCAATAAATCCCTACGTTGTCATTTTCTCCTCCCCCGTGGTCCATTTTCATTTGAAAAATGCAAGTCCTTTTATCTTGAGAAAAGACTCTAGTATAAATTGTTAATTTTTTTTTTTTAAAAAAGAACGTGTGAAATCAAGAAAGTAATTAAATTTAATACAGATAAATTTTGCAAATTCCTTAATAGTCAAAATTTGTGAACAATTTAGCTAGATATTTAACATATAAATAGCATCAAGTAGATGGTAGACATACAATATTGGTTCAAATATGTGAATTATTGAATATCCATCTAAAAGAATTATTGAATAATTTGCACCAAAATTATGTCCGCTCAACACAATTGAACAACACAAAATATGCTCATTCGATAGAATTTGTCAACAATTCTCATTAAAGTTATTACTCACGTCAACATATCTTGTTAAAACATAATATCACATCTTCCTCCCAACAAATACTCTACTTATGAAAATTTATAGTTCACTTGTGTAAGCTATAATTCTCAAAGTTATTTTCTGGAAAACATATATAATCGAGCGGAATCGATCTAATACTTAATGTGTTGATTATATTACAAAAAATATATTTTTTCACTTTTACTTATGAAAAATATTTTTTCAATTTTAACGCGGACATTATTATTAATTTCCCATTTTTTTTCCAAAATTTTATATGCACTTCATTTATATGGACAAGTGAGCTTAGAGACTACAATTGGACGACTTTAGCGGCCGGAGGCCTCAGCCCTTCGTGCTCAAACACAAAACCCTTAAACCCTCAAGCTCCATTGTCGATCTATACAACAAACTACAACCCATTTCCCTATTTTCTCACACAATGACAATCCATTCAGTAGTAATCCAAAAGCTCCTAAGCACCAACGCCCACTTGGGTCGCCGTGTGGCGGCACACCACTTCAAAATCTACTCAATAGGCTCCCGGAATGGAATGACAATCATAGATTCCGAAAAGACATTGATCTGCCTCCGTAACGCCTGTTCCTTCATTGGGGAACTCGTTCGCCAAAGAGCCCGCTTCATTTTCGTCAATACCAACACCCTTTTCGATGAAATTATTGATCAGATGACGGAAACGATTGGGTGTAGGAATGATACTTCTTGGCGTCTTGGAGGCTTTTTAACAAACAGTTCGAGTCCGAGAAAGTTTCGAGGAAGGAATAAGAAGTTGAACCTTACGGCTATACAGCCACCTGATTGTGTGGTTATCTTTGATACGGAGAGGAAGTCTTCTGTGATTCAAGAGGCTGCTAAGTTGCAAATTCCGATTGTGGGTCTTGTTGATTCGAGTATGCCGTTGGATATTTACAAGAAAATTACCTATCCTGTGCCTGCCAAGGATTCCGTGCAATTTGTGTATTTGTTTTGTAATTTGATTACAAAGACTTTCCTTTACGAGCAGAGAAGGTTGAATGCTGCCTTGGGAGCTTCTGCAATTGCAAAGCCTGAAATTAGGTACGATCAGTTTTTTAGGTGTGATGACTTGAAACTTGTACATGTTTGTCTATTTGTGATATGAATTTCACATTCATTGAGGTAAAAATGTATATAGGACACTAGCTGATTGGGGGAAAACTGAGGGGTTCAACTTTACCTATTTGATTACATTATTTTGACGGGTGGATAATGAATGATACACGATGGCGTTGAAAACTAGGAGAAAAGGATTTGGTCGCCTATTTTCGTTGATGAGTAATAGCAATGAATATGGATATTAAAACATGGCTGCCTCCAACTTTACAACATTGCTGTGATAGTTCAAAGGTACTATAGCTTTTAGATCTCTTTTAAGAATATAATAAAGGAGTTAGCTTTGAGGCTGGGTAACATTCTAGAATTCCAGTAAGAAAAAGAACAAAGTTCTAGAATTTACTAGGAATAACACCAGAAGGTATAGTCTAAAGAGCCTTCTCAAGAAAAAGTAAGTTAAAAATTCTAATTGATAATATCGTCTAAAAGGGTGTTGGTATTGACGAGGTGTCGTCTTCCATTCTGCCTTCCTTTCATTGTCGATTTTCTCCAATCTCCAAGTCATAATTGCTTCTTCCACAGCCCTTGGTAACATAACACCCAAGAGAAATTAAGCAATGAGAATGCAATTGTTTACAGTTTACCATCCAAATCCGCAATGCAACAAGAGATGATTGGTTCCTTATCAGCTTAGTTAATTGGAAAACCGATAGTGTATCTTATTTTTACTGATCTGAAATTCAATTTCGTCTAACAATCTCTTCCTGCTCACTAGCTATAGAATTGCTATACGTTACGACTGAAGTATTTAAAACAGTTTTGGTATCTTGATATAGTATAGAGGGTTGTAGTTATGAATGTTGTGTGCTTCTATCATCACTTCATTGATTTCAAGCAGTATTTCAAGTTTTAATTTACTGCTTTATTGACGTTTCCTCCCTTTCTGCCTGAAATTTGGCTGTAGAGAGGAAGTTGAACAACTTGACAAGATCAAGACAGTCGGCAAGGATAAAATTTATGTTCTGCCTTATGAAAGATTAGAACCCGCTTCTGAGGGTAAGTATATGATTCTTATACTCTTCTTGATTATTCCTTACAAAAAATATTCTTGTTGATTCTTTGTCCTTCTTACAAACACTAGTGGTTTTAAAGGTACATAGGCATTAAGGTAACTTAATCATGTTTTATTTATGTATCTGATTGATATAACAATCACTTGGTCTCCTTTTTATGCAGATGCTACCGAGACTAAGCAGCTACTGGACAAACTTGTCGTGTTAAAGTTTAATGGTAATTTGGGATCTGATATGGGTTTCAGTGGACCAAAGTAAGCATTCAGTTGAGAGTTGAGATATATCATTAATTAACACCAAAAGATTAGTGTCTCTAACATTATTGTTATTTACTCAAAGCTGATACTTTGTAGAATATATGATCTCTCCAGATAGAAATGTTTTTATTTCTCTTTTTTGATTAAGAGTGCCTTTTTTAATTTTATGGTATGCGGGCTTTTTGCACACTTGCACCACCTAGAGCTTCTGTTTTATTATGTTTATAGATACTGCTGCAGTGATAGCTTGAGTTTATTCGAGAGGTACTTCATGCCTGTTAGACTTTCATAAATTCTGCAACTTATGCTTTCCTGGTTGGAAAATGAAGTAAGAACCTTACCGGTTTATATTACATTCTCCTCCCGAATTATTTCTAGAGGAGAAAGTGACACTTCTGTACCACATAGATTGCAAAAACTTCCTTTCCATTTAGATGGTGACTACTGTTCTGTAAATAAAACCTTCCACTTATTTCGAAATGACAGTCAACTCCAATTTTGGTCTCATTTCTCAATGAACATTTTGTTTTCCTCTCTTACTGTACTTGATGTCCAAAAGTTTTCTTTTCCTCCTTTTATTATTCCTAAGTGATCACAGCCTATAAGCAAATTCGTTTGTTGTACTAGTAATTAGACTGACGAATCCATTCTACAGTTATAAGAATTTAGCTGCAATTAACTTCTGGTAATAACATTTAAGGCTCGTAATAACATTTAAGGCTCTCTTTCTTTATTCTCAATATTGTTCTATAGAGGAGTCTAATGTTCTAATTCCGGAAATTTATATGCAAATACCATAGGGTTTTAGCCTTATAGAGAAATGGATCTTGGACTGTTGATTATCTGAATATTTTTGTGTATGTGATCTCTTACAAGTTTGTTTGTTGTACACACTTTGCTATTCTAACCTTCATTTCATATATCACCAAATGCATTGGTTGCTGACTTTTGAAGTCATTGCATTTGACTTTTTTCCTTAGAAGAAAAGAAGAAACACGAGTTAAGGTGGGGTGGAAGACTTTCACCCCTTTATCTTTATCCATGGAAATATCTTTTACTTTTAACAGAGCTTACTCATGACCTGTACTGATTTGAAGTTCTTAGTGTATTAGAAGAGACAATACTTTTTTGTGGAGTGAATTCAATGTTCAATCACAAAAATGCTGTGTTCTGGAATGATATGTAAAGGACCCATGCAGCTGCAGTTAAATTACAGATTCGATCTGTAGTGCTTTTTGATAAATTATCTTGCTCTTGCTTTTATCTTTATTTATTTAGTGTTGCTTTGATATACAGATCTGCACTTGAAGTATGTAACGGATTAACTTGTCTAGATTTGGTCGTCAATCATATTGAGGTAGGTATTTCCCAGTTTCTTATGCAACCCATTGTTTAGTCTCTTATGCTGATTTGTAATGTGTAAATTTTGGACAACTGACTGGATATGTGTTTGCAGTCCATCAACTCAAAATATGGTTGCAATATTCCATTGTTGATGATGAATACTCCTAGTACACATGATGGCATCATGAAGGTGACTGATGTTATATCACATGTGTTCTGCGCCTTTTTAATGTGATTTTCTGGGAACTAATTAGCTAATAACTTAAATTAGGTTCTGGAGAAGCACCCAAATAAAAATATCCACACTTTCACTCAGGTTTGTTAAAATATTCTGACATGTGATACGTTTTCTGTTTTATTATTTTCTGCACTTCATTTTTTTATGAAGTAAATAGCTCTTACAATGGATTTTTAGAGCCAACGTCAACAAGAAAATATTGAAGATATGTCAGAGTCGTGGACCCTCAATAAATCCAGTGCACAGGAAAAGTTGTACGTTTTCGTCCATCTCTTCTATCCATCTTGCTATTGCTCTCTGCTTGTACATATTTAGCATTTTAAATTATTTGCAAAATGTGTCATTTTTGGACTAGAAGTACTATGTTGTAATTCAAGGACATATATGCCTGTTTTATGAGAACAACTTTTACCCCGTGTGACCTCCCTCCACTTGAAAAAAGAAGCTGAAAAAAATAAAGGAAAATGATATGGAAGTTGAACCTTTTTGCACTTCAGTAATCCTGTAGAGCTGTTACTTCTGAATCATACTTTCTTTTAATTTTGTGTCTTTTTGGTGTGATCATTGGATCCACGTGTGTAGTTCATTCTCCACCACCATGTACGCGTTCTCATCCTACTTTCTTTATGCAACTTTGTGGGTATTCTGAAGTTCCATGCATACCACAATTTTTGTTTGTTTCTCTATTTCTTCACAAGCTTTTATCAAGGATTGATATTATATCCTGCTCCGATAGTGATCCCCTTCTGATTGGAATTGGAAATTGAACCTTCTTGCAATTTATAAATATAATGCATTGTCTGCCTCCATATATGATTTTTCATGGCTATTTTCCCCAAGAAACTTTGTGGATTCTTTAAGTTCCATTTATACCAGAACTTAATGTTTGTATCTCTTTATTTTCTCTGCCAAAACAATGCACATGAGAATTGGCGGCTCTGTTTGTTTAATAAGTTTTTATTTTTGGTTGCTTGTGTTGATTCCTTGCTCTACTGAGTTGTACTAGAGAGCTGTGGACTCTTAATAAAATTAATAGTTTGATGGATGAGGGGTTCTATTCTAGGAAGTTTTGGTAAATATTGAATTTGAAACAATTGTTATTTTTGGAAGGGATATCAGTTGGTTACTTACTGATACTCCAAAGAAATGGAAGATTAAAGAACTTATTAAGAAAAAAAAAGATAAGCGGGATATTTATTTCACTCGGGTTGAAACAATCCACCATGCCACCCAATCTTGTTTTGCAACTTATCTCTGTTTTGAATTTTTAAGTGGTTGAATGGTGCTATTTTTGTTTTTCAAGAACTTCTCTTTTTCTCCGGAGAACTCTTTGAAAGAAGTTTCTGAACCAGTTAATGTGAGACTGTGTGACCGTAGCAAATTTTACAGACAAGTCTGAGCAGTTACATTTTGGGAAGATCTATTAGGCTATACAACTAAATTACTCACCTCTTTTTGCATAATTATCTTCAATGGAATCTCAATTTTTTATTTATATATTGAACTCGATGAATAATGGGGCCGCTCCTCCTCCCTTCTCCATTTAACCAAGCTTTTGTCCGCGGAAGGTTTCCAACCCTTGACGTCACTGCGCTCTTACCACTAGACCAAAGCCCTGGGGTTCCTAATTTTATTATTTAGAATTAAACAATCAAAATATATTTTTGCTATGAATCAGAAATCTGCATTGATAGAACTTTGCTGTGTATAATTCTTGAATGTTGACCTCTAGGCATTCAGTTGATTAACTCTTCCTTATGCTTATGTTGATTTTCCGCATCCTTTTGGGCGCTCCAAATTCAATATCTTGAAATTTAGGGCCTAGCGAGGAAAAGGTCAAACGACTGGGAGAGATGTATTGCAGGTATCTTGCATAAGATGTTGTTTGGAGGGGGGGGGGGGGGACTTCTCTAGTACGTAGTGCAACATAAAAGCTACCTGGAATTTACTTTTTCTTCTTGGTACTGCCTTTTTCCCTTTTCCAATACGAGAAACTTGAAGGAATCTTGTGGTACGTCTTCATTTATCATTCCATTCTCTTGGAACAACGAAATCGATTGCATTGCAGCACCACAACTCCCTCAAATCTCTCCTCACGTCACTCTTCTTATGCTGACTAAACTTTTAGTGCGTATGTTTAGTCTTGCTTTTACTTAAGAACGACATCACAATGAGTAAAAAAATCTATCCACCATCACGTAGATTGTGATCTATAATTTGCATTTCTGTATACGAGTTTTTACCGGTTGATTAAAGCATTTAGACAAGGACTTTTGGCAAGTCTAGGGAACTAGTTAATCTGCAAATAGTGATATCTTTTGTATGGTTTGGGTCATTGTGATAGTTTGAACCAAAACGAAGGAAAAGGTTTACTCAGTGAGTTTATGATTCTCTATCCATCCCCTGCCTCAAAACACCTCTACTCTGGCACTCGCTTCTCAAATATTAGAAAGAAAGAATAAAACTTGGTACCAATAATAATTAATCGTCACATTTGATAATAGAGCAAGTTGAACATGTATGTTGTTTAAGCATCGTGCATGTGTATCAGCTTGAAACTGGATCAAGGGTACAGCACTACATTTGAAGTTGGATGCTAACTTTTTTAAAAAAATCTCAAAACAGTTTGTTGCTATGTTAATTTAGTGAGTAAATTTCTGGATAAGAACTACCTACAAATCGTAACTACAGGGACACTATGGATTCTTGAGTAAGAGATTGCTTGTGTTCGAGAAGGATTCTAAGGTACTTTATTGATTGTAGAAGCGAAAGGAAGCAAAAGAAGAGTCTGTTATGATGTCCTTATTAAGGCATTTCAAAAGTGTTTATTCAAAGATAAGTTAGGCTGCAGTGGTATCTAATCAACACTTATTTCTTACTGAAGCACTTGATTTGCTGTCAATGATTGCCATGAATCTCAGCTTGTTTTGATCTTGAACTATATTGGTTTTAATCTAATGTCTGTTTTTTCATGGTAGATATCCATCCAACCTGCTGGAGGTTTTCCTTTCTTTGAACAGCAGTGGGAAGCTTGAACCGCTAATTTCTCAGGTAGAGATGTGTATGGTGTTGAGTTTTATTGCTACCCAAAGTAAGACCTTAGCAAGAAAGTTAGGCAGTATTATTATTTATGCTGTTTTTTCCTATACACACGCACACATACTATGAAAAGAGAAAATATGTAATTGAATTGAGATGTTATCAACGTAAAAGAGCACCTCTATCTTGGAGTTTATGGTTACATGAAACAAGGAAATTCAAACTATGTGAAATAAAGAAGTACTAAATAAGGAAAACCACCTACCCTTCGGGGTGGCCCAGTGGTTTGAGCTTGGGACTTCCATGTTGGAAGTCTCAAGTTCGAAATCCCTTATCATCGAAAGCAAGGGGTTTGCCTTCTGGATCGAGCTCGTCGCACCAGGCTTGCCTAGTGCGGGTTACCTCTCCTATGTGGTTTGCGAGCTATTGAATAGGAGCAGGGGTTTTACCCTGTGCGCACCTAAAGGGTAGCGATTGCGGGTTTCCCTTGTCATAAAAAAAATAAGGAAAACTACCTATGCTGTTGTCCCAAAAGGATTTAGTTCAAGTGAGAAATGTTGAGAAACTTGTGACTTAGATCTCAGGTTCGAGTCCTGTGACATGTGAACTAAGCTTGGCATTTGAATGGAGAAGGGTAGAGAAGCGGATCTGTTACCTTCGAGTTTCGAAAGTTGCAGTGGTCTAAGGGTTGATCCCATACAGATTTCTCGGGCATCCAAAAGAAACCTACACGGTGATATTTCTCACCCTCTTATAGTTGGTGACTCAACTTGAATTTGCCAATTTTGAAAACAAGAGAATTCAGTAAGTCAAGGTATTTAAACTAGTTGCATGGATAGTGTCTCTCAAAATAACGAACAATCCCCGGAGAAAAGGGTGCTGGAATTATTTCCTAGAAAAATCACTGGAAATAGTATATCGGAGAAAGTGCCTTCTCTAGTGGACAATGTAGATGAATCTTTTGTCTGTCCCTAGAGAAAGGTAGGGAGATGCTATTCCCCATCTTATCATCAGCGTTGCCTTAACAAGCAGCTAAAACGTAGCCAAAAAATTGTTGGAACGACTAAAATTCAATGTTCAAATTAATGATCTAACACCTCTTTACTCTGATACCAAGAAGAAAAAAGAGAACACATTTTTTTTAATGAATGTATGCTTGAAAAGTTGCAATGAAGAATGGTTGGAATAGTGGTCGATGGTGATGATGTCGCCAGAATAATCACCAGAAGCCTGATGCCACCGGGGACGTCAGGGAAGATACAAGAACAATAAATTTTTGAAAAGAAGGAAAATTCTGTCTTCACAAGGTTTTAGAAGTTCTGATACCATATGGGATAAAGGATCAAGGCTTCTTATTGAATTTGATAACAAAAATAAAAGAGGACTCCTTGTACCGTAATTTAGGCTAAACACTAAACAAGCAAAATTCCTACTTATTGAAAAATGAGTTATTTAACGAGGAAAATTACCTAAAATTGAGCTTCATAATTATGATAAAATTAGGAAAGGTTGCTCTATCATATTCTAATGCAGAACAAATCTAGAACAATCTTTCATGTAATTGCATGAGTTCTCTTGACTATCAACTAGCATGTTTGTGCAAACATACATGTAAATATATTTCTCAATTATGTGAGGTTTGCTAACTTGAACATCATGCTGAATATGGAACATTCTTCAATGTTATATGTATGTATATTACAGGGTAAGGAGTATTTCCTGCTGCTGCAGTCAGAAAACGTTGCTGAAGTTGTTGACCCAAGTATCCTTTTGCTAGTTTTATAACTTGTTTATTGTGTTTCTGCATGAGGTGATTGGAATCTTTTATCTTCTGAGTGATATTGTTTTGGACAGCTCCTTGATTTGCTTGTTCAGAAATTCTGAATCATTTGATTAAAAACAGCATAGAACATTGTGTCGAGGTATCACCAGGCAGCTGCTAATTTCAGCTATTTTCAGTTTTCTGTACCTGCTTGCTGCTGCTATAATTTTCAGTATTTCAGGTAATGCCTACCACCTCAGGAACGGAAGAGACGAGTCTTCCGCCTCAGGAAGGAAGGATTCAGGTTGGTTTTGGCCTGCATTCATTATGTTGTTAGACTATATGTCTCTGTTCTGACAACATTTAATTTCACGCAAGAGGTCTGAGTTTTACACTTGACCTGAACCAAGTTAGCTGTCAAATATAACCCCGACTACAGTTTCTAAAACTTTGACGAAACATAAGAAATCAGCATGTAGTTCTCAGCAGACCAGAGCAATTTGGAGTTTATCAATGTCCCTGTTCCGACTCTGTCTAAAAATAAAACCTGTTCTGGTGTTTAATTTCACACACGAGGTCCGAATTTTACACTTGACCTGAATCAAGTTAGCTGTTTATTCCGACTCTGTCTAAAAAATAAAAAACCTGATCTGATGTTTAATTTCACACATGAGGTCTGAGTTTTACACTTCACCTGAACCAAGTTAGCTGTCATAAATAACCCCTGCAGTTTCTAAAGCTTTGAGAAAATGTAAGAAACCAATATATGGCTCTCAGCAGATGAGCAAAATTCATCAGTCAAAACTGGAAGCCAAGTGATAATTTTTTTTCTTTCTTTTTAAATATGTAAAAGTTTGTTCCTAAAGCAGGGAATAAGTCATAAAAGAAAGTTCTTGTCCACACCAGAGATAATTAAAGTTGTGCTTAGTATGATGGTTATACGGTACAAGAGATTGGATAACTGTTGAAGAACTGTTGGTTGGACAAATTATAAGTTCCAATGCACTCCCTGAAACCTAGATGTTTAGTTAGTTTATTCATCAAGGGGTTACTGTTAATAATATTATCTTACTTCATTATAAATTTTTTTAAAAAGAGTTCTAGTGTTGGTTCATATTTGTTTGAAATTTGGGTTCGGTGAACTTTTCCATCTAGATGTTAATGGGTCAAGTTATATGCCATGAGAAAAGACAATTGAGGGGGAACAAATTTGTTTAGATTTTTTTGTTCTTTCGTTAGAACTAAATCAAATTGTAGGAATCACTAAATTGAATTACCATGTCTATTGTTCAGATGCATCAGTTATCTCTAACTTGATCATGGATCCATTAGGTGAAAGTTGCATTGATATTAGTCGAGATGTTTTTCCTCAACACCCCCAGCTAATGTTTTTCCCAAAATCTTCATTTGGCTTGATTCTGTTTATTTCAACTATTACGACAAGGGTATGGCTGTGTCATGTATATTTTTTAAACCTGTTTTTTCCCCTTGAGCTGAGGGTCTATCTGAAACAGCCGCTCTACCTCCCAAGATAGGGGGCTAAGGATTGAATATAGTCTACTCTCTCCAGATCCCAATTTTGTGATTACAGTGGGTATGTTGTTATTGTTGTACATCAAAAGACTTTTTAAACTCCTTGAATGCACTGATACTGGATTCTTAACTTACTCTATGAAGTAATGCCAGAATCAAGTAAATGTGACATAGGCTTTCACAATCAGTCTCCTTCCTTCCTGCACACCCTGTAAATTTATGTATTTGTGAACTGTTAACAGTGCAATTTATTAGAGTTTCAAGGATTTGCATTGTATGATGAATCTTATTTTTTTGTTTTTCATTGTTCGTGGCCCGAAGTCAAAGGAGCATGTCAAATCAATCAATACAATGTAAGTGATTTAGTTTTTATTTTTCTTTCATGGTGGAAAATATAGTGGAATCAAATCATTTTGCTCTGTTGTAATTTTTCAGGTGGATGAGTATGAGCTGCGTTGAGAGGCTACTACAAAGAAATGATCTGGGTTTTACCAGTTCTAAGGTATTATTATCCAAAGGTCACAAGATATGTTTCTGAAGCAATAGCACCTTCAAGTAGAAATATATTGTTTCACATATACACCAAAGCTTGTTTTATCTTTGTTTGGTGTTTCTCTTTCTGATATCATCTGTCACCTTACCTTCTCATGTGATCCAGTTTTTCGATCGAGCATTTGCTATTGATACTCCATGGTCAAGATACCTTCCAGTTGAGAGAACATCAGATTTGCTCATTTTGCAGGTTGAAGGGTGGTCTTGTTAACTATATTTTCTACACATGATATAAGACTACATCTACTAACTTTGTCATCATTATTATATTCTGCAGTCAGATCTCTACACCTCAGTTGAAGGCACTCTTGTGAGAAATGCAGCAAGAGCAAATCCCAAGGATCCTTCTATTGAGCTAGGACCTGAGTTTGGAAATGTAAATATGTGCATCCATCTTTTTCACAACGTTCATTTATCAGTTTATTTCATATATTAAACATATGTAAATTGTTGATCAGGTTGATGATTTCCGTAGTCTTTTCAAGTCAATTCCAAGCATTATAGAACTTGATAGCTTGAAGGTGACGGGGGATGTTTGGTTTGGAACTGGCATAACTCTAAAGGTAAGAAATGTACATCAATAATCTCATCAGGATGGTGTCTTTTTTTTCCCCCAATAAACACCTATCATGTCGACATGCTCTGCTTTGATGCATTCTTTTGGTCGTAATAGTCAGGATTTTTTACTTTGTTTGAGAGAGAGAGAGAGAGAGAACTATTAGGCGTTTGTTTTTCTTTCAAAATGCTCTCTAATACTTGCTGATTGTCTTTATTTGAAAATTTAGGGGAAAGTCAGTATTGCTGCAAGACCAGGCATGAAAATAGTTATTCCTGATGGAATGGAGCTTAAAAATAGGGTAAGTGACTTGAAGATTGTATTCAATAGCTTGTCACTTAGGACTTGTATTCTCAAAAATAGACGATTGCCATCTCGCTTAAATTTTATTCTGAAGGACTTCTTTTGTATTACCAGATTATTACCAGCCAGTCAGACATTGGAGGACCGAGTTCCTTGTAGATGGGATTCTGCAATATGAATGTATAGCTTAATCCGAAGAGGTATTTTTCGTCATACCAGGTGATTACAAGCCTAAAGAATTCGAAGGGAGTCCCAATCAAACCTACATTTGGATGTTTCTGAAAAATGATAAGCATCGGAATTTTGCTGTAATAAAGGTGGTTTTTTTTCTACTGTTGCTAGATTCAGTTTCTTTCAGAAGGAAAGTAGATATAGTGAAGAGGAAAAGAAAGCATCATAAATGTGTCATCATTTATTATTGATAAGTCTGACTACAAAATAGGTAGACAATTTATCTATTTTCTTCTTGTTAATCTATGTAATCAGCTATGGTTCTTTTGGAGAGAATTGTTTTACCCAAGAACTAACTCTCCTCGCGTACCATTTGGACTCATCGAGTATGTAGTTTTATTCTTTAGTAAGTAGCTTTTCAAATTTTTGTTCTCATCAACAATCAACATTATAAAATTGGATAAATGATCCTAACCAAAATTGATTTCCTACTCCAACTTTGAATGAATTTTGTAACATGTTTGATTCGATTCAGTATTGTAACTTCGCAGATTTACAAGAAGCTTCTTGTTGTTTGAAAATGAAAGTATTAACTTGATTTCTAAACCTATGTTGATCTTTTTTCACATTTAACATTTTATCCAATGTAGAAATGATACCATAATCTCAAATAGCATTGCACGGTTTAAGCATGAACTGAAACTGAGTACAGTATAAATGGAAGGTTATCACTTATCTGCCTAAAGCCATCATTCATCAAGAAATAATGGCTGACTAATCCGTATTTATTCCTTCTAGTGTATATAACAAACAAATTTTGTAATGCCAATACTAAGCATAGCCAAAACCAAACTCACCAGACCAATATAGCTGATGCGATTCCGTTCCTTATAGCCTAGTCTCTATCCACAGCTGACGTCCACTTCTGCAACTGATGAGATTTCAACAAGAACATTGGCACAAGATTAAGATTTCGTAATCTCACTTGCCATTGATTCTCTCTATAACAGTAATAAGCCCTTGAGTGCCAAGCTTCCCATCTCCATTAGCAACCATTGCAGAAAACAACTGCTTATTCAATGCAGCACCAGGCAACACCACAACGTCGTCACCCTGCTCTGCTCCAACATCTAAACCCATTCCCAAATCCTTTACCATGTACTCTGTAAACCCACCAGGCCTAAAGTCTCTCCCAATCATTCTTTCTCCAAACAACTCCATAACCATAGAACCAGCTGCTCCTCCCTTCACTGCCTCCACAAACTTCCTCTTATCCAACCCCGCCTTCTCCGCAAACACCAATCCTTCACTCAACCCCATCAAGTTCGCCCCAACGACAATCTGATTCGCAATTTTACAGCTTTGCCCCTTTCCTGGTCCACCCACAAAAGTCGCCTTACCCAACACATCAAACAAAGGGTTTAACCACTTCACCACATCCTCATTTCCACCAGCCAAAATTGCCAATTTCCCTTCCCTCGCCCCAGTATCTCCTCCAGACACAGGGGCATCAACAGCCCAGCAATTCTTCTCTCGGGCGGCATCAAAGATTTGCTTAGCGAGGACTGGATGACTGCTGGTATGATCAATAATGACGCTATTGGGATCAAGAGATGAAATCAAACTCTCTAACACAATTTGTCGAACATCTGATGGGTGACCCAACATAGTGAAAATAACATCACTGTTGCGTGCGAGATCAGCTGGGGAATCAGCAAGAAGTGCACCTTGGGATTGAAGATGAACAACTTTAGAAGGATTTCGAGCGTAGATTGTGACGGAATAGCCAGCGGAGAGAAGGCGAGAGGCCATGGCGCCGCCCATTACGCCGGTTCCTATCCATCCTATTCGGGTTCGGGTCGGGTTTATGGGAGCTGGGTAGGAAGTCATCGGCGGAATTCTGACAGTAAGATATGCAGATAGAACAAGGAACACTCTCTTCAATGATTGGATATTTAATCCGTCTCTTTATTGAACTCAGTTCCGAGCTAAAGTGACACTTATTTTGAAAATAATGACTTAACATTTTAGTGTTGCGTATGGAATTGAGCACATTAACACTTTGACTTTGTATTGTATTATTTTAATGAATATATTGTATTGTTCTCCGTCCTTATATAATGTCACAAATACATAATTTGAATGATAAAAACCTACGAGAAAAGTATACATGTAGAGTTACTCTGAAAATGTAGGGTTAGAAGAAATATAATCTCTATATCCCTAATTACTTGTCTATTTTTTTATTTTATTTTTTTCCTAATTACTTGTCCATTTTGACAAATCAAGAATGACAACTTTTTTTTAGCTATTATACCCTCAATTAATTACTTTGAAAATGGTAGAACTTCTTGAAAATCTTAAATTATTAATTCATAATTAATAGAGGTAAAATGGTAAACTCACTATATCAATAATTGTTTTCTTAATATGTGTGTCAATTCAAAAGTGGACAAGTAATTAGGAACAAATGAAGTAATTATTACTTCCTATGTCCACTTGTCAAAATTTTACTTGGCACGCTTATTATGAAAATATTGATTGTATAGTGAGTTTATCATTTTATCTCTATTAATTAATAGGATCCCAAATAGCTTTATTTACTACATTTTTCAAATACATTAACTTAATGTTACATAAAATTGATATTTTCATCGTTACCTAACAATGAATTTAAACAATACGATATAATAAAATTTAAGTAACAATCAAAACAAACATTGTATTTAAACTAACAATACAATACAATACAACGAGTAACAACCATCCTAACAAGGTGTAAGTATCGTATTTAGTTATAGATTTACTATTTTGGTATGCCCAAAATATGTACTCCTTCTGTCCCAATTTATGTGACACAATTCGCTTTTCGAGAGTCAAACAATTTAAGTTTGACCGAGAATTTGCTCGTGAAATCTTCAAAATTTTTAAAATGAAATTCATATATTTGTAAACTATATAAAAAGTACTATAAGTTACAATAATTAATAATTCAAAATATTGAAAAGATATATGAAAAATTTACGGTAAAAAATAGACTTGTTTAAATCTCGAAATCCAAAATGTATCACATAAATTGGGACAGAGGGAGTATAATTCATGAGTGATTTATGATTATCCCCATGAAAGAAACTTGGATAAAATAATACATTCTTGAGTTGCTTTTTTCGCATAAAGCTCGATCAACTTTATGATGGAATAACCAATTCATCTTTGCATAACTAATCTCTATAATTAATACATGCATAATTCTAACGACTGCCACCCTCAACTCCGCACAACTATGACAACCCGTCACCATTCCACAATTATCACTAATTCACTATGCAATCATCTAAACAGAGAAGAGAACTCATCCCAAAATACTGTACAAAACAAAGAAGAGGACAACTAGGAGCATAGTTCCAACCCCAAACAAGCCTTCTCCATCATATGTAACATAACCAGTATTACTGTTTTCCCAATATGTAGCAGATGATATATTTTGCACAGGAATGAATATTGACAACAAGTATACAACAAGTGTCAATGAGATGGGAAATAACAAAACTAGTATAAGAATGGTGGCACCTCCACCTATACTAGAAATTGTTGGCCAAACAATGAGCAAACTAAGAAACACAACAATCATTGAAGGAACCATTGGTGATGGCCCTATGTCCCCCATACTTTTGCCTAACACAATAAAGTACTTTGTTTTGGTAGTATGTGTTGATGAGAAAAAAAAAATGAAATCTCCTGGCATGCAAACAGGAGAATATAAAGTAGACCTTTAAGCTGCAGCTATCATGGTCACATCACCTTATGCTTCCTTTTGGAAGATAATGTCTAGTCTAGATGCCTTAGCACTGTCTTTGCATGTTGTGGTGGAAATAGACGAAATTTCTCTACCCATAATCAGTAGTCTTGGATTTGAATCACAAGAACGAATAAACCCCAAAAAGGAAGGATTTTCTCCTTTTGTTGGTCTTGTACGAGGTAATCTAGTGGATTTTGAATACTAAAAGTCAAACTTAAAGAAGGGTGATCATGTAGGACTTAAAGTTTACCTAATACGCACAAAAAACTCACCACAGAGTGCTTACCCAAAGGGTAAAACCTGTGGCAAAGGTTGTGGCAGCTACATGTAGGATTCCAAAAAAAAAAAACACTAATTTTTGATAGATTTCATATAAAACATGCCAAGAAATTCTAATAATGGCATGCAATGGCATTTTTCATGACCACCGTAACCAACTAAGAAAAGATTTACCAACATGAATATCAAACGGATTAAAACACCGTCAAAGGATGTAGTGCAGCGAATAGAACTGCTCCTCCCTTAATCAAAAGTCTCGAGTTTGAAACCTAAATATAAAAAGACCCTTGGTAGGGAGCGCTTCTCCCCTGGATGCCGCACTAGGCAGTGCTAATCCGGATTATTTGGACTCCACTACGGAATTCCGACATGATTTTTAACATTTAAAAGGTGAGAAGAATATTACTTCCGGCATCTCATCTACTGGGTACACATCGAGATAGAACTCTGAAGCATATTATATCGGGAAACAGTAAACCCTAATATAAGTTTTTCACAGTATATATTCTAGCATGCTGTTTACTAGCCTTCCTAATAAACATAATAGGTTAACACCCTGCAGCTTGTTATAACAAGTAAATAACAACATTTTCTACATAAGATAAGGCAAGAGATGAAGCTAATCGAGCTACATATATATTTCCTTCATTGCAGCCAACTCATTCAGACGGATTGTATCGCATGTTCTGCTCATAGAAATTTATCAACTGCCAAAAGAAACAAACACAATATTTCCATTAAGAGTCATCTAAATGAGAATCATTTAAGTAAAGCGGAAGGAAATACTTTCTATAACTGGAGTTAGGAGTATATATCAATACAGTTATCAAATAACAACCATAATTACAAAATAGAATGAGGTAATGTTTATTTTTTAACAAATTACAACATCTTCAGGAATTTATCTGAAGTGATGAGCCAAAACACTTGGTGAGAACTCTAATCAGAAAAATACAATGAGGAAAAGATAAAGTCTACTAGTTCAGATTTCCAGGCACTATCAATGTAGTACTTCTAAACCATTACAAAATTAGATCACAGCAAATATTTTGATTGCTATATCAGAATGAAGTTGTGGTGATTTTAAAACTAGATGGCAGATGCTAAAAGTTTCTATATTTACGGAAACTGAGAAATGACTGTTAATAATCCATACGAAAAAATGTAAAATCATTGCTATGGTGATGCAAAAACCAATAAGAGAGAAAAGAGAAATAGCTACCAGAAGTGGATTATTCATCTTCAGAAACTTGTTATCCACCAGCACTAAATTTCCATCGGACCTGCAGGCAACCACTAAGAAAAAGTATGTAATGTGAACAAAAACTAATAAAAGAATCAGCAAAGCTGATTTGAACTGAAAATTTAGGAATAGATAATCTAGAGATGTGCACGAAAATTGGTGAAGCCACTGAGAGTATGAGCAATGCGACCATGAACTTAACTGTCAAGTTCAAGCTCACTCCATTAAGAAGAGAGAAAAAACAAAAACAGAAGGAAGTTATCACACTGGTCATTGCAACTTATACACACATTACATCGCTGTTATAGAAAAACAAGTGACACAACATCAAGAAAAAAAATCAAAGATAACTAAAGAAGTACCACTAAAAGTATGATGTAACGGGACCAACAGAATAACGACACTGAAAATTGATTTGAAAATCTGAGAACTTTTAGCTTATCCTGACCATAAAAAAAGAGTCTCTCTTACAACAATTTTGGTGGACAAGTTACCAAAACAAAGCACAACGCAAAAGGGAATGCAGTATAAACACGGAGTGGGACGTTAGATTAGATTTGGTATATTTCACTTTAACTAAAAAAAAAGATTAGATTTGGTATTTATTATATGAAAACAATCAAATATCGAACCCAAACCTTTAAACATTAGGGATTGGCCTGAGATCCTAATAAATCCCTTTGGATCCCCTTTTCTATTTGTATCGGTGCTTTCCGAGCAAACTTGTGTACAAATCAACTATTTCACTGGTTACCTGAACCACCCGCAAGTACAAACACAAGGTAACTCTACCCACTAAGGTTTAGGCAGATGGGAAGAAATCACACAACTATTTTTGTTTTTGTCGAAATCTGAACTTTGGTCTCCCCTGGTCATCATTGCAATGTCATTGATTGCTAGACCACACCCTTGGTTGTACCTTTTGGGTGCTCAATGTATAACTAATATGGGATTTCCTAAAACTCAACATCTTATCACACGTGTAATCCAATTATTGGGTTTGATATGAACTTTAATACGAACTACTGAGTGTAAGAAAGGACTAAGCAAAATCATGTGAAATAACCTAAACATCTAATTCAAAAACTTTAAGCCAATTGGTGGAGTGACTCAAGACATCTTTTAACTCATTTGAATATCCTTGACTCCTTGTATATACCCAATGCAAGGCTTTGTTTAATAAATCAACTTCTGTGAAACTTAATACAACTGATCATGTTAAAATATTAATTGTTAGAAATAGTCTTAATCAGCTAATCTCAACAACTTGAAGGTCAAAAAAGACTCAAGTTATGATTCTCTCTCTATTTGATAAGCTAAGTAAAAGGCTAAAGCTTTCGCTCCTTTATAAAAAAGATTCAAAAACTGCAATGTTCACGTTGTTAGACATAGAAGATGGAAGATATTTGTTCAATCAAGAACGTTCCACTTAAAAGAAAAGAAAGAAAACGCAAAACCAAGTAACGTATATATCGAAAGACAAGAAAGGATTAGAAGATTATAAGCATCTCATAGTACACATCAAGTGAAAAGTTCATAGTTGTTAATCATGATCTTGAACCTTCTAGTTCACTCCCAGATACACTGAATAGATCAAGGCATCAAGCATCACTAGTATACAGAAAAAAATGGATATTTCTCCTAAAACACATCAACTTGAGTACACTAATCATTTCAATTATTTTAAATTTTAGAGAGGTTCTACATGATGACACTGTTTCTGCTTGTTTTGAGTGGAGGAGAGGCATTGATTTTAGGCTGGAACAAGGCTAGCAGATGGGGGAGTAAGATTTGGCATATACTTGTGGTAGTTACCTCAGGCATTGTAATTGATGAGTTATAGAGTCTGTAGAGGGTGAGAACTCTTACATTATATGAGCACGGGCAAGACAAAGAAGACATTAAGAAACAAATTATCCTATTTAAATCCACTTGGTAGTTTGGTGTGGAGCTTTGAAATATAAATTGTCTTGTTTATTTATGATCACAATGTAGGAGAATGCATTGTTGATGCACATGAAGAAACGGAAGCAAAATAACCTGGAAATAGCTTTCAGGAGACTAATTCAAGACCGGAAATGTGATGATGTTGATACTCTTTTGCAAAGGATTTACAAATATAACCAGTTTGTAAAAGAAGATTAAGTGTTACAAACCAGATCATCAATGAAAGCTTGGGTGAAATCACATTATCATCAAAAATTTGCTGGTGGGTACTCCTCTTAGATGAAATTTTTGTGATATATAGTTGGATGAAATTTCTTTTGAAGTTTGATGTGATCACACATTTATAGTGATAGTGTATTGATTTGATCATCAATGAAATTATTTTGACTTGTAAAGAAATGAATAAAAAGTTTAGAGATTGCACATTCTGATTATCACACCACCACAACACACATATTGACAAAATTAGCTGGCAAACATAGAAATAGAAATGTATGTTTTAATTCACAAACCTCTTGGCAACAAAGGTCACTGAGACATCCAGCATATCATTGGAGAAAGAAGCTTTATATCCTACAGGGTTGACAAGTTGTGTAATGGTATACCCATCTTTGGAATCATCAGACTTGTTTTTACAAACCAAGTCACCGCTGACCAATTCATGATTAAGACTTCCGTCCTGCATAAAAGTAGCCAAAGGACCACCTGCTAACGCATCTTGGATATCATCCTTCACAGCTGAGGTAGTCTCCCGTTTAAATCTCCGAACACAACCAGATTTCCTCTTTTTAGCTCCAGTACAGCGATCAGACTGATAAAATTCTGCACCATTAACCTTAGGAAATCCATTTGCGAGACCATTACCAGATATATCCACAGGGTTCCCATTGGTTGACATTGCTCCTTTTAATTCACTCAGCTTCAAATTCAACTCATTTTGCTCTCTCAATCTCAAACCATTTCCATTCACCACTTTGTCTACTTTGCTGTTCAATTCACTACCATTACTGTCCACACGATTCGTAGCCTTCAAAACATTCAAAGGGGGTGAGGGTGTAGGCTCCTCAATTATCCTAACCCTCACTGCTGGCACATTATATGTAGCTGCTGCAGGGGAACGCTGCTGCTGCTTTTTCTTGGGTTGAGTCTGTGTAGCCCCAAACTTCCGCTTACGCTTGCGTGTTGATCGTAGTTTCCCTGACTTCAAGCTACAAAGTGAAAGGAAACAGATTCAGAAAGGTACCAAAGATTAACAAGAGAACTATCCCCTATACACTAATCAGTATAAGGAACTAAAAAAAAAGGATTATAAATAGAAGAAACCTCTCTTCATATGCATCAATAATATCAGTACAGGACAACAGATTCTTCTCAGGTTCCCATGTATTTGCCGTCTCCGGCCAGCCACGCCTGAACAAAAAAACACATAACATCTATCACCTTCAACTTATTTTTCTTTTTTCACATAGTCAACTGGAAGCAGAAAAAATGGACTGGACAGTGATGACCATGAAGAAATACAAACTCGTTCACTACAGTTCGAATGTCAGGCTCTTAGCCACTGGGCCGTGCCTGTGGGAAACTATCACCTACAAGCTACTAAAGGTGGTAACTTGGAACCAAAAGCTACTACCTTCATCTTATATTACATGGCCCCCATACTAAAAATGGTTGTTCCAATTTACTTGTCCAATTTACGAAATCAAGAGAAATTCATTACTTTCTCCATTCTTAAATACTTGTCTATTACTCACTCCGTTCCTAAATGCTTGGCATACTTGCTAAAAATAGATAGTCCATAATACTTGTCATTTTAGAAAAATGAAGACATAATAATTGTTTGTTTGCACCTTTGCCCTTAGAAATATATATGGAGAGATATTAAAATGGTGCAAAAGAGAGAAAAATTAAATAGAGAGAGGTAATAAATAAGGATAATTACCCTCTAGTTAATGTTTTTCTTAAGAAATGTGCAAAATAAAACATGACAAGTATTTAAGAACGGAAGGGGTATAGAACTCTTATGCTGCAGCAGATTCATTCTGATCCCTCAGATCCGCTCTCTCTTTCTCTGGCTCCCTTACTTGAAAGCTTTTAGTTGATGTACTCAGCCAAAGAGATTTTTCAGTGACTGACCTTGCTCAATTTGATTCAAACCTTCAAGTTGCAACTCAGGTTTGAATCCTTAGTATTACTCCTTTTGTTACTATATAAGTGGTGTTTTAGCTTTTCATTTTGTTTCAAAATAAGTGGTCTTTTAGGGTTTCAAGAAGGTATTGATCTTATTCTTTCAAAATTACCCTTGTTTTATTACATGGAGTTTTACACCATTAAAGAATCACTTCTTTCTTCAAGTTTTAATACATTCTTTCTTCAAGGCATTTAATTAAGGTAAGTTAGTAAAAACACTCCTTATTTTCTAGGATTGGGTAATTTCTTACACCTTATTTGGATGGTTTTTACCCGTTGTATCGTATTGTGAGTTTAAATATCATATTTGTTTTGACTATTACTTAAATTTTATTGCATCGTATCGTTTAAATTCATTGTTAGGTAATGACGGAAAGTCCCATTTTGAATAACAACCGATTTGGTAGGATCGTGTCGTTACTTAATAATTTCTTCTCATTTTGTCTTTTACTTATTATTTAATAACCCTATTTTATTCTTTACCCTGCACCTTTTACAACAGCTTTACCCCAAAATCAAATTTAGAGTTAGAAAACATCATTAATAAAGTTAATTTAGTAAAGTACAACTGTTAATTAAAGCTTTCTCACGGGGTGTAATATGAAATGGAGGGAGTACAACAAAAGCTAATTTTTTGTATTCCATAGGAATACTTACCATTTGATCAAATACTGGACTTGACCCTTTAGTTTCCACAGCATTTCCAAGATCCCCAAATCCAGAAGCAAAATCAGCGAAATTAATGCCCAAAAATTCAGGAAAATTAATTAAACAAAACTACATCAATAGTAAAAATGTTTAATCAACCATTAAATAGATTTAAAAAAAAAAAAAAAACCAAAAAAAACTAACCTTCCGAGTTCTCCTTCTCCTAACAGTTTCAATCTCGTAAAACCCTGCAGCAAGTTGTGGTTTTACCTTCTTAGCAACACCATCGCCATCTCCTTTTTCTATATGAATCACCTCAGGCACTTCATCCTTCTCTTCTTCTTCTTCTTCTTCTTCTTCTTCTCCTTCTTCTTCTCCTTCTCCGGCCACCGGTTCCTCCTCGCGTTCGCTGCCGGCATCTTCAGGATCTTCATTTCTCTCTTGATGCTGAGCAGCTTCTCCGTCCAAATCCAACTTGTGGGTGTCACGGCTACTCCCCGCTCCGGCGGCTTCCAACAGAAGCCTTGAGCTTTTCCTTTTCCCTTCTTTCATTCTCCTACACTTTCTCTCTCTAATGCTTTTTTCTTTCTTTTTATTTATAGTCTCTTTTTTATCTTAAATTTTTTTCTTGGAATTGTCGAGTTTTGTAACTTAATGACTTTGATAACATTTTAAAACTTATATTTTTGTCATATTAATATGAACTGAGTTGTAAATAATTAGAGAAAATGACCAAAATAGTCCAGTAATATTTTGTTTTGGTCCTTCATGTATTTCACTTAATTGAAATAGTCCTTAATATATAATAAATATGTATATTTTGGTCTTTGATATATTTCACTTGATTGAAATGATCATTAATGTATAACAAGAAGTGTTTATTTTGATCATTTACCATAAATTTAACAAATTTATCAAAATAAAAAGTGTTAAATTTAACTATACACCCCACATGCCTAATAAAATTCATCATTATTGTCTTATTTGTTAACTTAAAAAAACTTTATGAAATCTAACACCATTATCTCTAATTCTCTAACAAAATTAACTATTTTCTCTTGCTTAAAACATAATTTTGTATTACGTCAGTGGAATAATATTTTAGGAAAGAGAAAATATAATTTTTTGTTTGGGAAAATAGAGAAAATGTTGCTAGATTTTGTGGAGTTCTTTTTTTGGAGCTAACAAAGTAGACAATAATAGTGAATTTTATTGGCCACATAGGGTTCATAGTTAAATTTAATATTTTTTTAATAAAAAATTATTAGATTTGGGATAAAAGTCCAAAATGATCTCTTTTTGTTATACATTAGGAATAAAATAAGCACATTTGTTATTTATTAAGGATCAAGTGAAATATATTAAGGACCAAAACAAAGCATTACTCATTGAGAATCATTTTGGTCATTTTCTCTAAATAGTTAAGTTTGTTTATTTGATTTAATTTAATTTAGTTGAATTTCAAAACTAATTAAATTCGTATTTTGATTTGTGAGAATCAAATTTTATAATTTTGATCTAATAAAAAAGTATTGAAAATTATAATATTTTTATATAATTTTTAAATATATAAATTTAAATTATAAATAAAATTAATCTAATTTAATTTAGTTCTAAAGATTAACTAAATAACATTCGTGAAGTAAGAATGAAGGGCAGAAATATTTATTTATTTGAATACTATGAAGAGGGGAGAATCTATTTCAATTGTACTTTACATTTGTTTTTTAAGTTTCTCCTTTTTAGTTATTTTCCTAATTAGTCATAATAGGTAGGGTCATTTAAATAAAATTATAATTAATAAGTTATAATAAATTAATTTATTTTATTAGGTTATTAAATTGATGGTTAATGAATGAATTAAAATTTTATTATTAACGATTTATCCGTGTGGGGATGTTTATTCATTTTTTCTTATTGGCTAAATCATTAACCTATTAGGAATTGTCGTCCCCTTTTTTTTTTACCATAAATAAAATACATATTATTAATCCTAAAAATTAAATAGGGCATGTTTGGAAAGCCCACTCTGGTAATTGGATTTGGTGTAATTGGTGTAATTACATTGTCTGTCATGTTTGGTTGGACATGTAAATACCTGATCAACACGTAATTGAGTGTAATTGGTAGGGTATAATTACACTCTCCAATTCACATGGGAGAATGTGAATTATTGATTACTTTTTAATTTCTTCTTTTTATTTTTATTTTAACTTATTTCGTTTTAATGTATTTATTTTGAATTGTTCTTTTTATTCTTATCATTCTAATATTTTCTAAAAATATTTTTATATTTCATTTCCTTCTTATCTTCAACTTTTACTTCATGTGATTCCACGTTATTGACTCGATATTTTACATTACAAGGTATTTATTTTTTAAAGTTAGACTTGATAAATTATCTTTTTGGCAAATGTTTTATAATTTTATATTATTATATTTATAATATTAATCTTTTTGTCAAACATGCATTTCATGATGTTCATAGCAAATAATGTACTTTTAATTATTATGATTAATTTAATTAAAATATACTAAATTGAAAAATATAAATCAAATATTTTTTATAGTATTAGTTAATAACATATGTTTATTAATTGATATATTTTCAAGAGACAATATATATCTTAAATATTTAATTTAATATTATTTATAAAAGCCTTTATTTGTCTAATATAAAATTTTAATTTTTAAAATTCAATATAACCTAATGACTATACTTGTGCAACAAAACAGTACTACTCTAGTAATTACTCCAAATCCAATTACGTAACATATCCATAGAGTCAAATTAATAAGTTGTTGTACATGTAATATTTGCTAAACAAATGCTTATGTGCATGCACTCTCAAAATTTAGGTTTATATGTTTTTCTTAATGTGGTTTACGAGTACAAAATTATCAGCTTAAGTAGAGTTGGAAATAATGTTTTGTTTGATGGGAGATCAATATATTGGTGAGTGAAAATGAAAGAAGGGAGCATGAAATGATTGAACCACACTACCCGATAGTTATTGATCCGATAACGAATCAATCGATATATTATTAAATAGATAAGATATTAGTATATTTAAAAGTGATATATGATAAATCAAATTGTTAAGCATTATTATCCGCTCAATTCGTTCAATAAACAACCTTAATAATAAGCCTAATATTTTCTTAGAAAATGTTTAAATAAATGACTAACGCATTATATTTGATGTTGGTAAGTATAAATTAAAACTAGTGAGGAAAAATTTGTGTTGTACATGGGTTCAATATTTATTTACAAATTTATTTATTTTTAAATTAGGTTAGTTAAATAATTTTAATTTTTTCTCTAAAATAAGCTATATATTTTATGTGATTGTAATAATCTCATTAGGTGTAAAATGAATATTTGGTGACTATTATTAATATTGATAAATTTTAAATAGTGTTGATTAAATTTCTGCTCGAAAATAAAATTATACATTTATTTGTGTGGTGCTCCCTTTATTCCATATTAATTGAAGTTTTGGGTCTTTTTTCATTGTCCAAAATAGTTGAATTGTTTAAAATTTGAGATGGATGTTTGAATTTTTTTTCATATTTGTCCTTTCCTTTAATGAAGTTTGATATTTTTTAGGAGATAAATTGCACTACTTATAAAGTTATATTTATGATTTCACAAAGGATAGTAGTGGAAAATATGGTTTAAATTATGGCCTTGATTGTTTTTCTTAATAAGGTTTCATTTGTTTTCATTAAGATTAAGATGTCTGAATCTGAATAAACATCTGAATATTAAGATGCACATTAAGATATAGATTTGGATACACATATGAATATTTTGTGGTATCTAGATTTGAACATTTAATGATAATGACTGTTTGTATTCAATACCTGAATATGCATATGAAATTGAACATTATATCAATAAAATATTATAAAAGTTTTATTTCAAAATAAAAATTACTTTTTGAATAATATTTTAAATATTTATATTTGATTTTTAAAATAAAATTATATGATATGCAAATAAAAATTATATATCAGTATAAAAATTATTATACCATGATTTTTTTAAGAATTCAACATAAATATCTTTTCATATTTTTTTTTATCCAACTAATCAAATAATAAAGAAATTCAAATTATCAGCATCTAACATATATTTTAGCTAATTAGAAAAATTAAAGAATTCCTATTTTTTCTGATGACCTTAATCCATTTTTCTAACTTGTGAACCTCTAGATTTATCCATGTTTTTTTTTGTAACTGAACTTTAACAAAATATACTAACAATTGTATTGTATAATGGTTCTTCACATCCAAGACCATCTAATTTTTCCTTTCATTCTTCAGAGTTAGGTGCACTATTTTTTTAATCAGTAACTCTAAAACAACATTCATCTCCTCATCAATTTTCAAGTAACACGAAGAGAATTTTCTTTTCATCCCAAAACTATTCTTTCAGTTGAAATTGAAAATTGGGATGAATAATTATTACAAGCTCCATCATTTTGTCACCAACTAGATCTTCGACTTTATCAGGTGTGTCTATATCTATAATAGTAGATAAAGAATAGACACCAGGTCAGGGATATGTACAATTTGGATTCCAATCATAAACTCTTGTTGCAGTAGAATCTTCAAAAAGTTTTGTACACAAAATTTGAAAGGGTAAAGGTGAAGTGTTCTAGACAAACATCAGTACACCCAAAAAAAATTATCATTATAAAAAAATAGTTGTAAAGATTATGAAAACTTACTAGTTCAAAGAGAAAAAAAATGGTGTTAAATGGAGAAAAGAAAGGAACAAAGTTTGTGGCGAGAGGGAACAAAGCAACGCAAAGAGAAAGAAAAGCGATTGATTATTTATAGCGAATTAAATAAGTCTGAATGGTATTAAAACTCTCCTACAAATCTGATTCCTTCCGAGCTTTTCAAAATCATTAAGAGATTTTTTTTTTAAAAAGAAACAGTTACGCCCTATCTTAAGATTAGAAGTCCACATCCGGAAAACACAGAAGAGATGTTGGGCATATAAGTAAGCAGGTTTTACCATTTAATGACGTGTTTTAAAGTCGTGCGGGCCTAGGCCCAAAAAGCGAACAATATCACTAGTAGTCTGAGCCGTTACAAATGGTATCAAAAGCCGCTCCTGTGTCAGCCTTATCGATGTGGGCTAGAGTTCAACTGACTTTAGGCAAATCTCAGTAAGGCGGTGTGAACTTCAGTGCTGAGTATAGGAAAATCTCATACGGTAGGGCAAACCTTAGCGAGGACGCTGAGTCTATAAATAGGGTGTATGTGACGCCCCAACTTAAGATTAGAAGTCCGATATTGGCAAAACACAAAAGAGATGTTGGGTATATAAGTAAGAAGGTTTTACTAACTAGTGATGCGTTTTAAAGTCGTACGGGCCTAAGCCAGCGGACAATATCACTATCAGGCTGGACCGTTACAAAAATAAATGGACTTAATAGACTAATTATAAATGCTTAAAATTCAGACTTAAAAATCAAACACATTTAATAGGCTGAATTTGAATGATTAAGATTAAGACCTTCATTAAGTGCAAACAAATGAAGTGTAAGTG